TATGTTGTCCATTACTAATTATGCATTACGGGCAATTGAGTAAACTGGGTATGCTATGAACCATGTGTACGTTATGAAGCGAATAGGGCGTAGCTTATGTAGGGTGTGTTATGCATCAACTCCGCCACACCCAGGCGCCAAACCCTAACAACTCGAGCAAGAGCACCAATACACCGACTGCCATGCCACTGCCCACTCTATCCGCTCTCTGCTTCGTGACATCGCCCAACCACCCGCCGTTTACGCCGATGAAGATCCACAGGAGAGATGCAAGTGCACTGGTTACCAGAATCAGCGCCAGAGCGGCAAGGATGCGGAGCGTGGAGAGCGTGTGCACGAATTGCACGGTTGTTATGGTATCTGATGGCGGGGTGATGTGATGGTGAATCACGCTGCCCTCCTTATCCTCGTCCCGCTCGCTCTCGAGGACACTCTGCTGATGTGATGAACTTGAGGTATGTGGTCGAGATGGAGCGGTTGTATGGGACATGGCAACTCGTCTGGCCCAATGGACCCAAGTGTATCTTGCTTTTCCAGTCTTCGGGTGCTTGTACAACTGCATGAGCTTCTCCTCGGTGAACGGTCGAGCGTCGTCTCCAGCACCGGTCCCGGCTCCCAAGGCCAGAAGTCGGCTTGTTCCCACGTCTTGATGCATGAGTGCCGAAGGGATATCGCTCCACGCGCTGTTTTGGGAAAGGCGGATGTACCGTAATTTCCTTGCGCTGAGATGCCTTTTGGCCCACGAGCCGGCGAGTCCACTGTGTGTCTGTCGTAAACGCTCAGCGAGGTGTTTATCATCAAATTCTATGGCATGATGGCGATCTGGCGAAGTTGTTGAGAGGTCGCTTGGGATGACAATCCTGGCTCGCTGCCGGCTCGCGAATTTCTGGTGTCTCTGCAAGCTCAGATGTAGAACAGTCTCTGAGCAGTGCGCGTCAAAGTGGCTGTTGTGTGTAGGAAAGATCCCTTGCACATCAACATTGCGGTCCAGCCGGCTGTGTAGATCGTATGCATCGCTGTTGGACATTGGGCTGAAGGCATGTTTTCCTTTGAGATTGGAGTACTCGTTTCTTGAGCCTTCGCCGCCGTAGCCACTGTCCCCACCATAGCCGCTGTCTAGGCGGCCATCGGCGTTGTGGTGCCGAGGTCTGGTTGCGGGTTTCGGGAATTCCTTTTTGGCAGTGAAAGGGTATGGGGTCTTGACGAAGTGGCTAGGGAGGTGGTCACGGTCTTTGACTGATATAGGCGAGAGTTTGATATGTCGGGCGTCAATGAAGGATCTAGCTTTAGGGGGCTCGATGCTGGTTGCTGAGTAAAACGAACGGCCGGACACCTCGGGAATCGAACCAGATGGAGACAAAGCTTTCAAAGCTCGCATTGTGGTGAGGTGGGCGTTGATGATGGAGTCTGCAATAACGCTGTCTGAAGTGTTACGGCGATGGCGGCCGTGATGGTATTCTGACGAGAAAGCAGCTTCCCCTCTCGCATCGATGGAATACGGGTTGGTCGTTTCCCGAATTTGTGTGACAGTATCCTCAGAACCGTTGCTCATGACTGAGCCCCGTGGCGTGCTAGTATTCGAGCCATGATTGTGGACAACTTTCACGTTGACCTTCTCCATCCGAGTAAGAGAGACATGCCTTGCTTTACTCGGCCCTTCGTTGTCATGTTCAAAGCCTTTAAAAGGGCCATGTGATGGTGCCTCGTTGAACACCGGTAGCGCCGTCAAGCCACTTCTCTCCCGGCTCCTCCCTCTAGATTCTCGATGCCGTCTGACTGGAGAGTGAACCAAGCTGCCTAAACCCAATCCAACTCCTCCGTCTTCTGAGAAGGTCTGTGTCCTGTCTTCGTCGTCTGCATCCTCCCATTCGGACCCAGAGGACTGATCGTCGAAGAAGTCGGCACCTGGAGATACACCACGCTCCATCGAATTCCCAAGGGTAGGGTGCACTGATCCCTTTCGTTCGATTGACGGCTCGACGATATTCGGTGAAGATGCTGGGCTTGACGACAGCCTTGCAGCTGGATAGTTGACGATCAAGGTTTGCGTTGCATTTGGCGGCCCCGAAGACAAGGGTAGAACCGGCAGAGCTGGATGATGTTTAAGAAGGGAAGCCTTTGGTTTAGTTTCATCCATTTCCAATGCGTCTGTAGGTTGCATGAAACTCATCGCAGCTAGGTTCGTGGGGTCTGCTTTTGGCCGTCTACGATACTCGGTTCTGGCTCAGGTCATGCTTTTTTCTGTACAATGTGATCTGCCACCTGCTAAGTCAGTCCCTGAAACAAATTCACAAGAGGACAGTCGCGGCAACAGAAAAGAAAACGTGATAGCTCACGGGGGTACCGCGAACATAATGAGAGCTGTCAGCGGGAGGTTGACCATAACAAAGCAGGAACGTACATAAGATTGCAGATCTGTTTTCGGAGGCTCTGGACCCAGGATTATGGTAGGCTCAGGCCATGGTTACTGTCGTGGAATGCTTGTCCGAATGTAGTGATGGCGTTGCCGCATTCCGTAGTCCTCCCTTGGAGCGATGTTTTGTCTGCAACGTCAGCAGACAATTCAAAGGTTAAATTAAGAAAGATTGAGAGTTGAGAGGTCGCTTTTGGATTGAAGTCTTCGAATTGCGACCAATGGTATATCCTGATCTAGAACAAGCACATCTCTATACAGCGCTGGGGCAAGAAAAGAACCGAACGCCGAGTGTGATGCACTGAAGTTCCAACGTGACGAAGCACACATCCCAGATACCAGTCACGAGTGTCCTACTCGCCATCCTTGTCAAACATTTTCCTCATTGCTTTCTGTGCAAGCTCAACCCCAGCGAACGTTGCGGCGTTGGCCGGGACAGCTCGGGCCATCGCGGGCCCAATACCAGGGAAGAAAGCCTTGTAGCCGCCGTTCGCGTAGATGCCTTTGATCGTACCACTGATGGTAGGCCGACCCTCGGCACTCTGCAACCGGGATTTGATCGTGTCAATGGGGAAGACAGGGATCCACATGGCAATACCTGCAGCGCCGCCAGCAGCCATAACGGCAGGCATGCTCAATTGCCCTGGCAGACCTGTCACTGGGTCCTTGGGAGTGAGCTTCCTCTTGACGGTTTCGTATGTTGCGAAGTAGAAGGCCGAGCCTGGGCCGTCTCGTGCGAGCGTCATGGCAGAGCCACGGTACACGGAGCGGATTCCGCCCTCCTTGTACAATTGCCTGACGACGTCGACGCCGCCGTTGTACTTGTGTTTCTCGCCAGGTGCCAAATTCTTCTGGCCTTGAATCTGCAAAAGTACCTTCACCCGCTCGAAGGGTGCGGTGATAAGCGTCTGAGGAATAGCACTGAAGAAACCGGCGGCCGAGACTTGAGCAACGCTGAATTGACCGTTCTCGACTGTCGACACGGAAGTCACAAGTTGCTTGCCGAGGTCGTAGCCCCAGAAAGATACAGCAACTGCGCATGGTCAGCAAATGCTCAGGCCAGCGTTGTGGGGGACTTACACATGGGGGTTACTCCAACAAGCGGCGCCGATACACCTGCGTACAATCCTCTGACCAGCCCATCTTTTGCAATACCCTTTCGCAGAACGTCCATAGCGCCGTTGTAGACGCCTTTCTCAGCAGTCTGCATCCGCACCTTGACTAGATCGAATGGGTGTCCCACAACAACGGCGAACACACCACCAACACCTCCAGCAACAAGCGCGCGGAGCGACTGCACCGAAGACTTGGTAGCTTTCTTCACATCCTCCTTGAGCTCCTCCTTAGAAGGCAGCTTGTCAGCTACCTTTTCTGTGGTAGTAGACATGGTGTGGGTGTCGACGTGAGCGAGTCCGGCAAAAGAGCAATTGCGCGCCAACTATGCGCGGTGAAGCTCCAGAAAGCTCAGGTAGGCAGACGGGCACTGGAAAGAGAAACCCACAGGTAGGCTGAAGAAGAAAATGTTGTGCAGAGTGGAAGAAAGCCACGATTGTTTAGACAAGTGAGCTCCAGGTCTCCGGAGCTTGGCCCACGTCGACCAGCCGAGCGAGGCCCGGCGTGCGTGTGCCGAGGCAAAACGCCCCTCCTCCGAAGCTCGAGACCTGTTGACCTGCTCACCTGCTTCGCAGAATCATGTTCCTACTGGCCGAAGTGCATTGCGCAAAAGGCCCGTGAGCGCTGGCGAAGCTGTTGCGCTTTTGTGTTGTAGCCCCCTCAAACACTCACAGATGATCGTCTGGATGTGGCTACAAGGAGCGCGTCTTCAGTGCACTCTCGGGTCTAACGACTGACAGACATGCAGCAGATGCTAAACAGGTACCTGGAAAACCTTTAGCTGCATCTGATCAGCGTGCATGCCGGAGTACGGTGAGCTGGCATGGTGTTACTCACTACAACTTGGACTGTAAAGCTGCAGGTTGCAGGTGCACGAGACATGCAGCATGTGAAAATCTGGGGCTCCACACCCCAGACATCATCTAAACGAGGTCACCTTGGTCACGACAGATCACAGCAAAGATTGACAACACATTCGATGTAAGGGAGAAGAGGCTTTTGTTTTAAAAACCATCGTATGCTCGACTCGTTTCACATTGTCGCTGTGTTACGAGAGCAATGTCTTGCACACAAAGACTCTGGATATGGGCGTGCTTCTTAAACGAAGTCAATCCTGCTTTGGCCAAGAGGACGGCGATGATGATCTGTTAACATAATCAGGGATTATGTACGAAGGTTATCAGTTTTTCCTCGCGTCCCTTTGTGGCATTGTGGATGGGCGTGTCAAGCGCCGTGCGACTATTGTTATTGAAACGAGTACGTACATAACAGACTCCATCAACTCCTTAATGGAACAGTCCTCGTCCTCTAGTGCCGATATCGGCAAGCTTCTATCATCTGTAAGCTAGCTTCGCACACTTCAGGTAGACCTAGCTACCTGCCCTTTATGTTGAATCAAGTATAGGATTTACAAATTTGAGCAAGTCTTCATCAAAGCCAATCCAACAAAGTTGGAGTCTCTTGATTCTATCAAGCCCTCTTGGCTTAGTGGTAAAGCGTATCACTAGTATTACTTCGGTATGCAATGATAAGATCGCTCGTTCGATTCGGGCAGAGGGCATCATTCTTTTTGCATACCTCTCGGTATGTGAGCTTTTTTTTTTTTGGCCTCCGACCTGATTTGTGGGGAAGGGTCTGCACGCGAACTGAACAAGCAGGCCACGTGCTCGATCAAGTCTTTCCAACACAGGCACAAACAAGTGCAATTATCGCCTTCAGGGTGCCCTTGTATATAGCGGCATTGCGTGAAGATGCAGACACCTTTGTCTTGCTTGTTTTGGTCGCGCGTCATTTGCGTTTGCACTGCCTCGATCTCTTTGACTAGTTTGATGAATCTTGAGTGCCGAAATTGCGACTTGTCGTCTCCCAGCTCAAATAAACAACTCAGCTTAGCAGCCGCACGCTCCCGAGGCAACGACAGGCACACCACCTGACAGTTGCAAGCAATGCCTGGCTCCACAGCTTGCTGTTTCACGTCATCCAATCTGACCAAGATCCTTCACTAATGTAATCGATCAGCCGCGACTGGAATGCGGCGACGGCTGGACAACCTCACCAAGTGCTGTCGTGACAAAGCTCGTGAAGAATGACCCACTGTTCCGTCTTTCCGAACCGTGAAAATCCTCCACGACGCCTTCGCAACCTCAAACACGTCGAGGGCGTTCACACAGGGGCTCCCGCACCGCCAACTGCACCACCAAGAGGCTGATATTTCAAAACTAGCTCGTGCTCACCCACACCCCGGGAGATTGCAAATAACCAGCGAATCAAACGTGAAAGGTACCTGAGTTTAAGCCGTGACTAGCTCCAATCGCGGAATGATGGACGATGGCACAGACCTTCGGGCGGCGCGTTCTAAAGGCACGCGAACGTTTCGAAGGACGATTGGCTGCTCTGCCGTCTTTCCTTTGGCACTACGCGCCTGCCCTGCCTCAGGCCGGGTCGCTCCTTCTCTCACCCTCCGCCGTCCTTTCACCTTCACTGACCGACCTCGTAAGGCCAGGCTGTCGTGCGTCTTTCAACCGTCGAGCGCGTCTTCGGCACCACACTCTTTTCAACAATATACGTCACTCTTTATGCCTAGTACTTAGTTCACGATCAACATTCCAACACGCCGACGCGCCGAGGCCAAAACCACCTGTACATTCCTTCCTGTACAGCCTGACCTCCCTTGAGCCACAGCTGTAGTAAATATTCGACGATCCTTTGTGTTTGTACACAACACTACGTAATTGTAGAATTAGATCGAAAAGAGGAGGTGAATTGGACTCGCGTACTCGTCACTCCGCAATACCGTAACTACAATCGATCGCGGCCTGTAATTTTACCACGCCCACGACTTGGACCGACAACCTGCGCGCCACTGAACACGACATGGCGCACCAACATGGACACGCGCACCTTGTGCGCCGGCAACGCAACCGGCAGGAGGAGGAGGATGACAACCCAGTCGCAACAGTCATTCAAATCGTCACGGTACCCGCCACCAGCAAAGCCGTACGGGTCACCCAGCAGAACGATGCCCCAAAGACGCTCGTCCCGCCCGCTGTAGTAACAAGGCCGTTCTCTACCGCTTCAGCCGATGACAATGACGACAACGACATTGCCACGTCCACCAGGCCAACAGCGGCTGCCACATCGAAGAGACCTGCTTCTTCGGCGACACACACCACTGAGTCAGCAGCTGAAAGAACTTCGACAGCGAAATCGACAAAGGACCAATCTACGCTAATCGTCGCAACTAAGTCTCCAGTCGCCTCGAACTCGGCGTCGCTGGTCGGCGCCTTGGTGTCTGCCACAGCATCTGCTACTGCCTCTATCTCTGCTACTCCCACTTCTGACGCCTCGGAAACTGGAGGTATGTCTGGTGGTGCTAAGGCTGGTCTTGCTCTCGGTATCTTGCTTGGTTTGGCTGCTCTCCTTGCTGGCATCCTGTTCTTCTACCGTCGCAAGAAGAACGCAATGGCGGTAGAGAAGGACAACGAGAAGATTGGTATGCACGGTGCTCCCGCACCTCTACCACCTCAGGTCCTCACCGGTGCCGCTCCCAGCATTCGTACCAACCGCACCATGTCTACTGCACCTCGCTTGAGCCTTCGACCAGTCACCCAGTTCGACCCTACCTTCAACGAGCAGCGCAAGAGCGGAGGAAATCTGCTTACTGTTGCCGCGGCTGCTGCTCCTATTGCTGTCTCTCACGACCGAGCTGTATCACCTGAGGAGCGTCCCGTTAGCGCCTGGGAACGTCGTGGAGCTGCCAATGCCGCTCCTGCCGCTGTGCCTGCAATGAACCCATTCAATGACCCTCAGACGCCGGCCAACAGTCAAGCACCTCCTAATCCCTTCGGTAACAGCGCCGCTCTCGACGCTGCACATGCAGCCATTCCTGACTCGCCTCCCCAAGCGTTCCCCATGCACCCAAGTGCTGACCTTGCCGCCCGTGTTGCTCCCGCTCCCACACCAGAGGTTGATGCTATTGCTGTAGCTAATGCTATGGCCAGTGTCCCCGTGGCAGGAACCGACTTCTCGGCGCCCCCCAGTCTCAACGCTAACGCCGACGGAGTACCAGCAAGCCCCGCATGGACAGAAGATGTTCCTTCGTCACCAGCCATGGGCACACCTATGATTGTTGGTACCGCTGGTGCCGCGGGTGCTATGGTTGCTGGCCGTCCCAACGGTGCTCCCGCCGGCCCTAACAATGTCCATCGTGTTCAACTTGACTTCAAGCCCTCCATGGGTGACGAACTTGAGCTAAAGGCTGGCTCGCTGGTCCGTATGCTTCACGAGTATGATGATGGATGGGTAAGCTTACTTAAATGCCGCCCTCCGACATTTCCACTGACACAACACAGGCTCTCTGTATTAGCATGGATCGCTCACATCAAGGTGTTGTGCCCCGAACCTGCCTGTCTAAGCACCCTGTCAAGCCTCGCACTGGTCCTCCTCGTCAAGGCCCTCCGCCAGCACACATGCGCGGACCCCCTATCCGCTCGCCCATGGGCCCTGGCGGAATTCCTCAACCTCGTCCGATGTCTCCTGCCGACGGTCACAGTTCGCCTCACCCACCGGCTTTATCGCTCGCTAGTGGTCGGGACTCCCCTGGCCCTCGCACTATGAGCCCCGGTCCCCGCCAGATGCCTCCTCCTCACATGCAAGGCCCTCCTCGTAACCGTTCCCACAGCAATGCTCCTTACCCCGGATCACCTCAAGGTCGTGGCCGCGCGAACAGTAACGCACCGTACGCTGGACCTCCTCGCTCGATGTCTCCCGGTCCTTATGGAGGCGGTCCTATGGATCCACCACCACAAATGAGTCGTCCCAGATCAAACTCCGCAAGCCAGCTCGGCGGCGCTCGCCGTGGTCCCGCCCCCGGACCCAGTCCCATGAACCCGAACATGAACTTCGACGCCGGTCCCGTACCAGCCCCCTTGGCTAGTGCTGTTCCTAGTCGGAAACCGGTCCCTGGCATGGCATTGTAAACATCTGTCTAGCGATATTTCATGAGCACATGTGGAGCATTTTTGCGTTTTCCTTTTTCCGTCGAGTCACTCGCTCTCTCTCTCTTCGCCATCTACCGTTTTGGTTACCTTCTACCTTCTGCTACCGCGCCTGCCAAGCTCCCCGCCACTCGCACGTGTGCAAAGGCGCGGTACAGAGCTTTTTACTTGCTTTCAGTGTTTATACCCAAGGCCCGTGTCCGCCGCCAAGTTACCCCGTGGCGCGGAAGGCGGACTGGGTCTTTTTTACAACTAGTCGATAATGTCTTGAAGATATTTGGGGAGGTTTGCTGATCGTTACCTGTCCGCTGGGAAGGTCGGATGGGCTGGAAATATTGTGCATGCCCCGCTGCTGCCCCGTTTGGTGGGCTTTCTCTCGAGAGGGCGCGCTGGACTCTTGGGGCGGCTTTGAGATGGATTGGATGGATTGCATAGGAAACACGGGTAGAAATGTACCAGCTATTATACGCCGATATTCTAGTCTTTAACTCGACTCTCACTTGATGTAGTTCTAGCTCGACATGCTTCTGTTTCGTGCTGCTCCATACTGTTGCTATTCATGCATGTTTCGAAACCACGGCAGCTAGGAACTCGTCAAGAATACATCAAGAACATGGAATTCGCACCCTCAGGATCTTCTCCTACTTCACGTCTGGAGGAATAGCATTCCACTATTTCAGACCCGATTGCCCCTCAATCCTTGTTTCTGTTCGGCTCCCACAGCCGTAGTCGTAGTGCCTACCCAACTACTATAAACGAGGGATAGTATAGCGCGCTCAAGCATCACCGCACAGAGATCAGCGCATCGGCATACTCACGATTCTCTTCTCTTCGAATCATGTCGCTATCTATGTTAGCAGAGCGGCGACTCAATTTGAATCTGCGAGTGGAACACGAAGTGATTGAAATTGATTTGCCGTGGCGTCTCTGCCTCCATCTATCTATTCGCACGACGAGCGTATTACGGCACCATGTGCAATCAGCGCTTCCATGACTTTAAAGTGTGAGTTCTCAGTAGCCAACGATAGCGCAGTACATCCACTTTTGTCCATCGAGTTTATGTCGTCAACCATACCGGGTCTAAGTAGAATCTCTACCACAGGGTAGTGCCCTCTACCCGCAGCCCACGATAGCGGCGTGCGCCCACGCCAGTCTCTCAAGTTGACATTTATTCGACTGTGGGAAACTAGCATCAGGACGATTGTGACTCTCCCGGCCTCGGCTGCCATCGACAATGGTGTTTGCCCAAGCCAATCTTGAGAGTTGACGTCGACCCTGGAGGAATAAAGTAGTTCCTCGACCAAGCTCGATTTCCCATCACGAGCCGCGCATGCCAGCGGAGTCCGCCCATCCTCGTCCTTGCCATCAGCATCCGTAGAGCGGCTCGCGGTTTCTCCCATCGTACGCAGCTCTTCGAGAAGTGATATGGGCTTCCGACCCCCAGTAATTTTAAAAGGGCTTTTAATGTCAGGATGAGACCGCAAGACAGGAGATCGGGAGATCAACAACAGTCTGCCGAGGTTCTGCCGAAATGCTTCTATTGAAGTCCACTGAGGCAGCTCAC